AGAGAGAGAGAGAGAGAGAAGGATAAATATAAAAGAGTATAAAGATAAAGAGAGAGAGACAAGGAGAAATACACGAGAGGAAGAACTAGAGAGATAGATGAAGAGAGGCCAGAGTCGTCAAGACACACTGCTAGAAATTATGAGTGTGAACTTGAAATCGAGTTTTCTATATCCTGTGAGGTTCGGCAGCCCTGCCATTGTGCTGAGGCACATGCTGCCCACGGTTTCAGAAGTCTTTGCTTGTGAAATCAGCGATGATGCTGTGCAGTTGTTATTCAAGAACAACCAGAGCTCCATGCCCCACATGGTTCTGAGGGACATTGCTCTGGTAGAGGAGGGCGAGGTCGCCTTTGATTACGTCTCTGGTGAAATGAGGAGCGGACCCGATCTTCCCATCGACCTGTGCATCTCTGGATTTCCTTGCCAAGCAAACTCGCTTCTCAACAACAATCGTTGGAGCCGAGACGCGGCAAACACGGAAGAGGCTGAGGTCTTGCTGGAGATACTCCGGGTCATGGGATCTGTCCTTCGACCGACCATCTTTATCCTGGAGAATGTAGGAGGACTGATGAAGAAGCGTGGAGGCGGCAACAACACTTCTGTCCTGACCTGGGCAGAAGAACAGATCAAGCTGCGGATGCCAGACTACGATTTCTTTAGCATCCAGCTGGGTAGCTCACCGCTGCATCTTGGCCGCAACCCGTGCCCTATGAGCTGAGACGTGGAGTCAGACTCTGAGGCCCACCGTGAGGAACCGTGTCTACATTGTCGGAATGCAGTAGGCTAAGAACAACGGTGGGCTGGCAGCTCTTCAACAGGACATTACGAAGCTCTCCGCTCATTTTGAGCAGATGCCCACACATCACCTGGATACCTTTGTCAGGGATGATCTCGATGCAGCATCATATGATGAGTGTGGCGGCGAGTTGCAGGATGATGGCCAAGACCTGGGCTTGAAAGAAGAGGCCCAGACAGCCTCTGAATACTCAGAGGCCTTTGCGAAAGCCGTGAAGGGTGCCCTTGACGCCCGCAGATTGCCCCCAAAGTACGAAAGGAAGGGCCTCCGCTTCAGTGCCGCCCAGAATGTGGCATGCATCAGTCCATGGAAGAGATCCCAGATCGATGTGAGCCTTGGACAGCAAGGCAGATTCTTGCTTCGCCCGTGTGTTGGCTTCATTTCATCACTTCAGCCCAAGCCTATGAGGTACTCGATGATTGCTCAATTCCTTGCGAGTTCTCAGAGTGAGGGTACTGTCACCGACCATGCTGTGGCCGACATTGGCCAGTCATGCAACAGGGGGGCTGTGCATTTGTGCGGCTCACTGCCAAGCCTGGCCTCTTCGAGCAAGATCTTCAGCTTCAAGAAGAAAAGGCTGCGTCTTGTTTTCTAGGAGCTCGTCATGCTGAGCACTCTGCATCAGCAGAATCCTTGTCTTGCTTTTGAAGGTTCCTCCACGTGAAGGAGCTGGCTGCGGCAATGGGGTTTGCTCAGTTCTCTACTGAGGGTGCGTCCTCGCACCAAGCTCTTGGCGTCATCGGACGATCCATGGCGGCTAGCACGTTGGTTGCTGTCCTCATGCCGGCGCTGAAGGCGCTGCAGTTCTATCGTGACTAGAGTTAGTTAGAGTCATCGTTGGAGCTCCGACGGCCCATTTTGAGTCACTTCTGACACTCGGGCCCTGGTTCCACTGCTCCGCAACATGAAATACTGTGCACGCAGATGCCCTTGCATGCCACTGCAGTGCTGCAGACCCTCATTGGTCCAGCCATCTTGCAATAATAATGGCAATAGCTGCACATGCAAGTTGCTCTTTCTGATCAGACATTATAGTTGAGTTGTCATGGCCACCAAGCGCAGACGCCTCAGCTTTAAGAAGGCGGCTCCTGAACCATCGACAGGCGCTCCGCCGATGGACCACCCACTGCTGTCTTATTTGGATGAAGGACTCAGCAGACCATCCGTCAAGGAGTTCCTGCAGCGGATTGAGGGTAGATCTGAATCGGCTGCAGGTGTGGAGTGCTTTGATACCGAGAAGTACAAGGCCTCGATGGAGAAGTTCGGAGAATATACATGTAACGTGAATTTCTTGGAGATCCCCGCCTTCACCCTGTGCCATGAGAAGCTCGTGCCGGGCATGTCTGCAGTGCGAAAGGTGCAAGACAGTCACTGGCCACGCAACAAGCCCTGCCTCTTGTCCTATTTCCAGAAATCCGTATGCACTAGACCGAAGGAGGCTGTGCAGAAACATTTCATTGTGACAGAATTCCTGATGCCAGGTCTTTGGAGGGATTCTGTGGCCATCGCAGCAAGCTCGAGGACTGAGCCACCGAACAAGGACCAGGTGAAGCTCCTGAGCAACGATCCGCTGCGGTTTGCTTTTCTCCTCACCGTCATTGATGCGTGTGAGGGCGGCTGGTCCACTGAAATCGAGACAGCTGCGAAGTCTATGCGTGTGACCTACATCCTTTGCACGTCTGACGAGCAAGTGGAGCAGAAGAAGTTTCTTCTGTCTGCTCGACAGGGCAGCCTCGCAGATAATGCGGTGCTCAAAGGTTGGAAACGGATGATGGCAGTGGTGGCCATCAAGGGAAAACTTCAAGAATGGTGTCGCGACAGTTCCGATAAGGCCGTCGCTCGCATAGCATGGTGTATCATGTAACTGTAGAAGGGAGAGTTGCCACTGCTAGTTATGCAAGAGTAAGGTGAGCGAGTGGCTGGCTCACGAGAAATTCGTTGTGTCCAAGGAGACTGTGAAGAGCTATTGCAGCATCCATGTGCGGGTTGTGGCCGCCCATGCCGAGGGTGTCCTCGAGGAGATCGAGGAGGAGTTCGGCATGGAGAATCAGTTGGTGAAGACGTGGATCCTGGAGCGGCTGGTTCAGTTGACAAAGGCTGATTCGGAAGAGCTGCAAAACAGTCTCTTGCGATGGGTCCTCCTTGACCTCCGTTGGGCAATGAGGAAGAAAAAAATCACCGAAGCAGACGCAAGAACAGTTGTTGTGCAGCAGGCCAAGGCTTCGCTGTTGAGCCGAAGGCTTCTGTTCTGCGCAGTTTCAAAGCTGCGACTTCAGAAATCCACCGCGAAGGAGTTGGGGTTCTCCACAGACGACCCCTTTGACTTCCGCACACCATTCGGATTTTTCTCAAGCTTTGTCTCGCATGAGAACTGGGATCGCTCCGGCTTGGGAAACATTGCCTCGGACACAACATGGGTTGCTGAGCTGCCTCTGTACCAGCAAGAAGCCCTGCCGTACTTGCAGAGATTCTTTGAGCCCACTGCAAAGCTCATGGAGGCGTTGTCTGAGGCAGTGGAGAAGGATCCCACGGGCCTCACCCCTGAGAAAGCTCTTCAGCATTCAAGATGGACGACCTTGTTGCCTTTGGCGGCATTGCTGGATGCCAGAGAGTAGTCGGCTCAGCTGAAATTGCTCCTAAGTCATGAACCGCAGTTTGCCTTGCCAAGCAACTCAGGAAGTGTTTGCACGGCCAGACACAGACTGAAGCCACACCGGAGGTTGACAGCTCACAGAAGCCGGAAGAGCAGAAGCCGGAAGAGCCGCCGAAGCTGAATGCAAGCATCGACGATGAGGACGATTTGAGTCGCCGTTTGGCTTCCGGACTCCATGGCAAGCAGACGGAAATCTTTTCGGCTGCAATGGATACTGGCCACCCAGCCCAGAGTGAAATTCTTCGCCAGGCGTTCCCTCACGTCATCATCCCACAGCCCCTGGCTGACCAGCTGGGGAAGATGGAAGCATTTGAGTTGCAGCAGCTTGTGACCAAGGCCGCTGCACGTAGCTTGGCCATGTGCACTAGCGACGTGTGTCTCGAGCGATTAGTTCAATTCAGTTTTGCCGAGGTCGGGACAGGTATGTGCACTTGCGAGTGGCCGATGCTTCCTCAGAGGATTTGGGAGATATCATCAAGGACGCCAAGGCTTCCTTGCCCCATGGACATCTGCTGTTTCTGGACGGCAAGAACTTCGGGCAGGGACTCTGCCAAGGTGTACCGCTAACCCTGCTGAGAAGCTGCTGGGGCACCATCCTGGAGGCGAGTGAGAAGAATGAGGCCATGGTTCTACGGGACAACGACATCTTCATCACTCTGGATGGCCGGTGCAGTAAGATGGATTCGCAGTACAAGCGCGAAACGGCCAAGAAGCTCAAAGAGCTTGGGTCGTCGGTGTGCAAGCGGAAGGGCCAGATCAATATCCGTATGCTTTACCATATGAGAGAGCTGACCGGCCAGGGCCATCTCAACTTCGCCAACCGAGCTCGCCGCAAAGTCAAAGTCCACAGCCAGCTGCCCGAGCCCCTCGAGAACTTGTATATCCTCAAAACCAGATTGACCCAGCTTCCGGTTCGCAGTCGGCAGTTCATCGATCTGCCTGGTGATATCAGTTCTCGGGCAATGGCATCTGTGCCGCGAGACGATGAATTTATTGCTGATGATACCGTTTGAAATTTGAATTCAGTTGAACAGTCTAGTGCTGATGGTGATAATCGATTTTGCATCTGGGCACCCAAGGCCTATGAAGACTCAGGATGAGGTTTCGATGTGCCGTGTCAGTGAAGAGGATTACAAGTCCTTGCTTGAGACCTTCGGGGCCATGGGGAAGCCACAGCAAGGTGGGGACAATGGCAATGCTGAGCCAGCAGACCTGAACGATCCGCAGGAGGACGAAGAGCAGCAGGAGGGCGATTTGGCAGAGCCTGACTCTGGGCATGACACAACCCTCGACAGCGAGGGGCAGCCGCTGTGGCCGATGGGGGCTTCCGAGAAGGTGAACAGGGAGCTCCTGAACCTCTTCGCGGTCGGAGAGGATGACATCAAAAAGCGGGTGGTTCTTGATATCTTTCCGGGGTCGGGCTCTATGGCGCTCGCCTCCTGTCGTCATCAGCACCGCTACCTTGGACTTCCAAGCTCACCATTGCACAGAGACATCATCATGGAGAGTCTGCTCCTCCACATCTGCAAAGAAATGATGAATGGCGTACGGGATGGATTTGAAAGTCGGCTCCGCGAAACCCCGGCAGCTCCAGCTGAGGAGCAGATGACAGAGACGAAGACGATGGACACTGAGTCGTCTGCCGCGGCCACACAGCAGCCTGGCGAGATGGGGTCTGCCGAAGCAGCTCAGGCGGAGATCAACAAGGATGAAAAGCCGAAGAAAAATAAGCCTGACAAGAAGAGGAAGAAGAAGAAGCAGACTTCCTCTTCATATTCCTCATATGGCGAGTCCTCTGAGGAGGCGTGAGTTGCTTGTGCAGAGCCACCAATGAGGCGAGCATGGCCTGACTCAAGGTCTTCATCTGCTGTTCTTGCACTGTGTAATAATATAATTTTACTTGTTAATTATGACGTACTGTACACTCCAATTGCGGGGTATGCTGCAGCAGGTGGTGCCATGCTGTTTTGAGCCTCAAGATGTTGCTTTCTGGCATGCAACGTCAGACCGCTTTCGCCTACTTGGCCAAACAGTGTGTGTATGTGCCGAGTGACTGGAATTGCAAAGAACATCTTTAAGTTATCCAAGTCGCATCGCGGGCCCGGCATCATCACAGGTTCCTTGATCGTGAAGTCATGCGTCTGTGGATCAAGCCCCAGTCTCTGTACAGATGCTACAGATATAGATGACAATGATGGCACGTGGGCAAGAGGAGGCAGTGACTCGGCACAAGGTGGCGACCCGGTGTATAAGACTTCCTGAGCCCTTTGCAGACCTGATAATCATGAGTGATTCTGAGGCGAAGATTATCGTGACGTTTTTTCCTGATTGTGCCAATGCAGTTGGAGCTCTGTACGTGATGGAGAAATTGCCCCAAGGGTGCTCGATCCACGACCTTTCTCCAAAGGGGCAGATCGCATCCAGAATCCGGTACAAGGGCCTTGATGGTGTGATGGACAAGTTCGGCTTCATGGAGTGTTCAGTGCCAGAACAGGTTACAGGGCCCGTGGAGCTTTTGGTTGGTCAGGTTCACAGCAACAAGTGCAGTCAAGATTGGCTGCAGCTTGCCGCCCTTTGCAAACGATTGTCTCCGAAGCTACTTGATTCAAATTTATGTATCTTTGCCACATTTGCAGTCAGAGTGTTATTCCATTCTAAGGCTTCTCTTGATCATTGCGCCGGAGTCTGTAGACTTGACAGACCTGGCAAAGAAATTTCCAGATGACTTTCATTGTCAAGAGTTGGTGCCAGGCAATCCCGAACAGTGGCTCCCGTCTGCACCTGCTCCCACCAGGTTGCTTCTCTTCAGTTCAGACAAGTTGAAGTTGCAATCCGCCTGGCAGAGTGCCCAGCGGCACTTTGAGGGATGGGCACAGTCAGCCTCGGATCAGCGAGATCCTTCCAACCACCTACTTTCCAAATCAAGCTTCAAGCGTCATTGGAAGGGTGAGCGGTGTGTCAAGAGGAAGCGTGCAGAGCCAACGCCGGATGATAATGATGATGAGAACGGTGACGGTGAAGAGGCCGTCTCGAAAAAGCGAGCCAAGACATTGGATGATTATATCCAAGAAGCCAAAGAGGCGAATATCTTGAGTGCTGATTGGTCAAAGAGCAAGCGAAGTGCTCATATGGTCAAACATGCAAAGGTTTGGGACGGTGGCCTCGGACCTCGTGCTGAGGTCATTGCTCATGCTCTGATTGAGCGAAGCTCCGTGACAAGGGCCGGGACGGCGGTGTTTGCTCACACAACAAGCTGGCCCAAGCAGAGTGCAAACTGGACAGTGCTGCCGAAGCGTGTTGGCCCAGATGTGATCGTCGTGCTTCCTGACAAGGAGAAAGGCAAGCTCACAGTCCGCAGCCTGCTTCCGGTCGAGTTGGGGTTCTGCAAAGGCTGGCCGCTTATCTTGAACACCGCCACGCTGAGTGCTCGCAACGATATGTCGGTTTACTCACGGCTGCCCTACATGCCAGTCGTATTGTGCTTTGTGCTTGGTGCCATGACGGCGTGAAGTCGCCGTGATTTTGTCTGATGGCATGTGTTGGAAAAAAGCCACCTGCAGGATAAGGCATGGGGCAGAGTGCAGCAGCTATTGATGTGAGTGGGTTGCATTTTCGCCGCGCTGAGGCTGAACCCAGACGACCTGCTCAGGCGGGTAGCGTTTTTTGCACAAATTGCCTTTGATTCGTTCTGATGCACGGCTAGGTCGTCTGTTTGGAATTGAGATTGTTCCTGCCATTGCTTTGCCCAGTTTCTGTACTCCAAGCTGAGCCGTCCCGCCCCAGTCTACATTCGGCTTTGCTGGACCATGGCGACCTCCTACTACTTCGCCATGGAGATGGGTGCATGGCAGAAGTTGATTGGTACTGTTCGCCCCAGGCTGCCGGCAGGAACCAAGTTTCATGGCACGCCAGAGGATGCCATTCATGCAGCTTGGATTAATTTCGCGACGCAAAGCTGAAGCTTTGATTCGGACTAAGTGTCACTGCTTGTGTAAGCACAGTTAGCTGGCTGACTACTTGCTGACTCAGTTCTCTGCCCGGATGCTGGCCCGATCTTTGCGAGCTTCGCTCTCCGGAGCCTCGCCCAATGGTGGCAGTGGTGTGACTTCTGCTGGGAGCAAGGCGCAGTCAAGGATCCTGGATACAACCTGGATGGTCCTCAGCATCATTCCGGGTGCCGAGTTTCAGGCTGTCTGTGGCTACCATTTCGTTACGAACGACGGTGCATTGATCTCTTCTGTCGTGTTGCATCTATCTGATGATGAGGCTCGAATTTCAGTTTCACCTCCGGCAGTCACTCTGGTCTGAACCGATGTCGTAGTGATGTCAAACTCTCGTGCCGTTTCAGGTGACTGAGAAATCCGTTGGCCTCCTGCATGAGACAGCCTTTGCATCCGTTACATGTTGCGGCTTCGAGCTGACATCCAAGCGTGAATGCCTCAAAGTCTTGAAGGAAGGCCAGAGTGCAACAGAGGAGCCCTTCCCAGGCTACAAGTTCTTTCTGCTCCTGAATGTATGCAAGAACCAGTGCAGGGAAATAGATGCATCCCAAGACTTTCCGTGGTCATTCTTGGATGAAGGAGTCAAGCAGACTCTCGAGGTCAATTTGGATCCGCCGCGCATTGATACTTATGCTGCTGCGTTCTCGAACTCCAAAGTGCCAGCATTGATCCGTTTCTATGGGCGTCAAAGCTGTGTGTTGTTGGAGATGAACTGCCCTATGCTTCTTGGCTATGCTATGAATTGTTGACCTTGCACTGTATTGTCAATTGCTTTAAATGGTGTGAAGTGTCCGGATCCCTGCTGCAAGGACCATCATGACCGATCCTGACTTGAGCCTCTTGACTGTGAGGCAGGTGTACAGCCATTTGCAGATCCGTGGTCGCTGCGATTTGTTCGCTACCCTTACAAGCCTCTTCGATCGAGCTGACAGCTGCCAACTCCTGCACATGGAAACGGCTGCTACTGCTGTGGAGGGCTCAAGGTCTATGCCATTGAAAGCTTCATTGAGGCCAGATTGTTCAGATTGTGTGAAGCAGAAGCGGGATTGCATAATCGCAGCCCCTGGTGCCAGGAAACGTCGGCTTCAGGATGATCTGGCTACGGCAAAGCGTGCTTGTGCAGTTCTTGAGCAGCGGCTTGCTGAGCTGTAGACAGCATAGCTGCAGAGGCATCGCGGCATCTTTACTGTTAAACACGATGGTAATTCTGAATACAGGGCCCCAATGCCATACAGATTTGGCAGATTTTATAGTCATTTAGGTGCCGCCTGCCCCTTTCTTCTTCCAGCTCAGCTGGTGACTTTTGACTCGCGATTGACAGGCCGCTCTGTCTCCTTTCTGAAAGGTTCGGGGCTACTAGCTACACTAACTCAGAGTGTCTGCACTATCGTACAACTTACATTATTGCTGGGGTTCATTCGTGGTAAAGGCATGTTTTCCATTCTTCATCCAGGGGTTAGGTGTGAAGTCCTGCACTTTCTGGGTTGTCAAATTTTCGATAGCTGTGTAGGACTTCGAAACTAGTAATCAGTCTTGGGAGATACGGGTTCAACCCGTGTTGAGCTTTCGTGACGATGGCTACGAATTTGGGCTGGTCCAAAATTTCCGTTGGTCCAGAAGTCATTGCCGTCCCCAGTATGATTACTGTTATTGCCCTTTCAGCCGTTTGCAGCGAGATGACAAGTGATGCAGGGCTGATTTGTTCGACAATACTCAGTTTAATGCCGGCCAAATGGCAAGCATTAAACGCTAGTAAATTATACAAACAAAATACAATAATTGTACTTCGAAAATCCCCACCCTGCAGATAATGCAGTTGACAAACCTATACGAGTCTCACGGTAGTCTGTTGGGATTGGGCACTCCAGGGAGTCTCACGGTAGTCTGTTGGGTTTGGGCACTCCAGGCAGTCTCAAGGTAGTCTGTTGGGTTTGGGCATTCCAAGGAGTCTCACGGTAGTCTGTGGGGTTGGGCACGACAGGGAATCTCACAGTAGTCTG